CAGTGGAGTTGGACGGCCGCTAAGGCTATTGAAAAATATTGCCGGGTAGAAGGCGGGTAGGTTTTTGCATTTTTTCCATTATTGATTTTTTTTAGTAGTATACCTTGACTGATTTGAAGGGGCTCGTGCAGATCTGGCACACCTCGACAGGATAAAGTTTCCCGCTGTGCTCACAGAAAAAAAAATGCATTTTCTCGCATTTATTCCATTCTTCATTGGTATATTGTCTCCAGTCATCGTTCGCTAATTTGCTTCATCACCATCTGCGCAGTTTAACATATGACAATCAAATTTGGCAATATGATAATCAAAGCTCCCTTGATCAGTCTATTATTGTCATAGTCTACATAGTCGTTGTTATTCCATGTAGAGAATAGCACAGAGGCCTGGCCTCCTCTTTTTTAGCGCAGCACGTTTCGTCACTTTTGGCATTTCGAAGCCGTTAGCCAGTTGCTTTGAATTTCGCATATTACACAACTTTCAGTGCTTGGCGCTTGTGCGGATTCATGCAATATACGTGCCTCTATTTTCGTGTACACAGTTCATATCGGTCACGTTTTTCTTTTTTTTCAGGTACGCGGGTATCAGGGATGTATACAAGGTACCAGTAGAAAATGACGACGTGCAACAGAGCTTTTTATTCGCTGAAACGTTCAAATATTTATACCTCACATTCTCGGATAACACTGTGATGCCGCTGGATAAGTGGGTTTTCAACACCGAGGCGCACGCTTTTCCGATAGTCAGTAGCCGGTGATCCGTAACTCTCTCGGTGGTCTTTTGATCTATCCGGTTGTTGTTGTCTTCACTGTTCTTCTTGTAGATGCAGTATTGTTGTGGCAGCTTACGTAGTTCTCAGCAAATGAATGGCAGCGCTGCGCTCGGGGCCTAGAGGAGATGGCTTCGTGCTTTTATAAATAACGCTAATAAGTGTAATAACAATAATGACATAACAGCAATAATAACAACAATAGCAATAATAATAAAAATAGTGATGCCAGTAATAAAAATAATAAAAAGAGAATGGGTTGGTAAACAGTTTTCGAAGGTAGAGGCGCATTTCAACTTAGCTGCAGCACAAAATGGCAAAACGGTGTCTGAAAAATATCCTTTTTTTACAGGCGCTCTTCGCCCTCAGCTATGTTGATGCCTCATTTTGTGTTTTAGCATTGTATCTAACATTTATGGACCATTTGGATCTTTCAGGCAGCTTAACACTTCCCGATTGTTTTATATGCTCTTTTGCTAAATTCTGAGTTCGCTTGGTTAAATCTGTGCATCTCCAGCAACTTCTACGCCTTCCGTGCCTGATTAGAATGATTTTGAGATTGCAGTGAGGATGAGAGAGGGGATCCATCCGTCATCCTCAATTTCCAGAGGTACATCGTTTACAAATAATAATGGGTTCGCAATTACAGCAGTAGGTTCTTGACGCTTTTGTTTGAGTTTTTACGCACAGACTTATGAAAGTCGCTGAATTTTCCAGGTGAATTTTCACAGGAGATGCACTGTTTGCAGTATTCTTAAACCAGAGCAATGACCTTCAAAAGTGTTAGACTGGTCCCACGTGTCGGTGTGCTAATACATCCACACCGCATCACCCTTAGAGATCTGGGAAATGTTTCTCATTGCCACTTGATCCTGCATGTTCAAGGATGTCCAGCAAATGCTTCTTCCCTTGGAATTTCGCTGTCTTATTTCGGTTAGTGAAACAACTTCTGCATTGTTCCGGGAATCTTGCGGGCATGTGATAGTACTAATTTCGCCCTCCTCATTGTTATTAGGCGTGCCTGATTGCACTTGGCTGGCTGTTGTCCAATGCACACCATACATCGTCTCATTATAGTTTGTTGAAATTAAAATGCTTGGAGTTGGACGACGTAGAAGTTGGAAGGTGTTTTTCTCATTCAGTTTTTTTACGGTGTGTTTTTCTTTCATTTTTTTGCAGGTGAAGTTATACCCAGTTACCAGTGTTTGTAGTTGTTTTGCGATTTGTAGTTTTGTTATAGAAATTCGGTTATGTTGTTTTACTGCCGCAGGAAGAGTACAACATACAATGAGAAAAGAAAGTAGAAGCATATGAACCGATGCATAACAAATGAACATACGCACACTTCCTGCAGTTTTCAGCTGATCTCAATAGACTGCGTTTCAGGCGCAAACGTCTCCCAGTGCTTGAGAAGTTGCTTCTGCGTCTCTAGAAGGCCTCGCAAATACTGCGAGAGCATCATGTCCAGATCTTTCCTCCGCTCCACCAGTGCCGTCTCATATTCACTTCGGATCACTTTGCTTACTTCCGAGAATTCCTTCTCCGCTTCATCCACAGCTTTTTCTGCCTAAAAACATTTGGCAATTCGAAAAAAAGAAAAAGCAAGAGCCACCAAATCAAATTTTTCAAGAATGAAAAGCTGCCTAAGAAACTGGCAAGAAGGAACCTCACACTTCACAGCTACGCTTAACTTTTTACCACCTTATCTAATAAAGGCAAGATGAGCACTGTACATTATTCAGTTCCTCCAGAATTTGGCTCGCTTTGTCGGTTCTCCCAGACAGCTCATAGCGAGCTTTTGCCTCCCTTTTCCTCGTGAGATTCTGTTGAGCACTTTGCCAATTCTGCCACACTTTGACGCGTTCGAAGAACAATTCCTGCAATTACTCAATGACTTTTGAGCGAACATACCTTTACACAGAACTTGTCTTCTGTGATTCGTTCAAAATCTAATTCAGCAAAGTCGCTATGAACAGACTGGACGGATAAACTGGAAAAATTGTGGTGAAAAAGGAGCATTCGTACTCAAGATGCTCAAATGGATCGCCCGGACAAACTGCCGTGCATCGTCTCTTCGCTATGATTGCGGTGTCGCTGACTGATAAGTTATTAACGAGAAAGGGAGGGGGGCATGATAAGAACGGATGGGGGTCTCTATATTGGTCAAGGGGACACTCGAACTGTCCATAATTAACGAGACCATGGAACGGACTGAATTTTTTGAAGTGCACCAATAACAATCATTGATAACAACAACAACCGAAACCTTTTGAAGGAATACGTACCTTTAAAGTGCCAATTACTTGCAGCTGCTCGCTAACTTCTTCGGCGAGCAATGCACAGTCTTTTTCGGCCTGCTCAGCATGCAGCTGCCCGATGTTTTCGTAAGTTTCAGTTAAATGCGACAGGGTTCGTGCAAGACTTGTGTTTTCCTCACATGACGCAAGCATGGAAAGCGCTTTCGAAAACGAATCGGTGCCGGAAATCAATTCACGTCGGAATGAGCTCAACGACTCGACCGCTCTGAGCAGCTTGCTCAAATTTTGCTCCATATCGTCCATCTAAGGAAGGTAAACTGTAAGAAATTCAAAAGTGCAGGAAAGGCCTAGACAATCTGAAAGACTAAAAGGAAAAATATGATTCTTCGAATATAAGCGAGAAAATTAAGCAGAAATTGAAAGCTAGATAGAATTGCATCTTGACAGAATATAAAGTGCAGATATATGTATAAACGAATTCTTTTAAAACTAGAATTAAACAAAACCCTTAAAATCATCTAAGCTGGTTCTTGCATGTTTGTAGCATACGAGTAATATTAAGAACTTAAACAGGGCAAGACTAGAACTAACTGTGTATGTATAGATGTAGAAATATAGCTGGTGTAAGAAAAATAAGTAAGAGTTAAGACGTTTCGGTCCATTAAATCATATACGTCTTAGCTCAACACCGCGACTGGACCTCGTCAACATGACGGTCGTGGTGTTCAGATATGAGAGGAAAAAGAAAGGAATGGAAGGCAGGAAGAGAAAGATAGAAGAGAGATTTTTTAATTATATCAAATTTTTGAGCAGTTGGAAAAGATTATAAAGTTGCAATATAAAGTGGAAAAGTATGGAGAGGACGAAGTAGCTATATGAACGGAATGTTAACAAAGCAACGCATGCGGGCATGTTGGGTGGTACAGTTATTGTAGAAGAGCGCTAAATTTATGTCTCCGTCACACCCAGCAACAAAAACGGATTGGAACAGTTCCATGTCCAACCCACTATCATAACTGTCAACATCACTTATAAAACTTGAACAAGGACAAAATAATTGGCCAACGCACCGACTTCCGATGCGAAGACACATTTTTTGCACAGCTCTCCGCAGGGTTTTGTCGCTACTGACACTGTTTTTTCCGGCAGATGCATCTAGCTAAAAGAGTTGAGATTGGCTACCATAATCGTGAGATAACATTTCCTTAAAATTTCAGCTTTCTGGTTTTTCTGGTTCCCAAATTAGCAAATTACCGCCAAAAACTTTAC